ACCAGCGCAATAATAATAATAATAATAAGTACCAGTACCAGTACTGCGTACCAGTACCACCACCACCACGCCTAGCTCGGTGGAGAGAATATACCCCCCGCGCCGGGACGTGTCGGCTGCAGCGCGCTCTAATATTAGAATAATAATGGGCGCCGTCGGACTAACCGAGCGGCAGTCGCAGATCCCAGCCAACCACCGCCCAACGCCTGTTTCGCATGTCTGGCACGCTCTCCTCCACTTCTCCCCCTGGATATTAAACCGCCGTGCTAAACACACAACAACAGAGAGAGACACACACGCAACCCACGCACGCATGCACGCACAACCACCCGCGTCCCCGACCCAGGTCCCGGTCCAGGCCCCGTCCACCCCAAACAGACCCGACGCGGCCCACCACCACCACCACCACCAGCGCCCAGGGCGCGAAGGGAAACAAGGCTTCGGCCGCGCGCGCGCGCGCGGGGGGGGCGGGCGCTGGTATGCGAGCTCCGTGTCACGCAGGGCCCACGCCCAGCGCCCAGCAGCGGAGCGACGCTACGCTCTCTCTCTCGGGGGGTCTCTTTCTCTCTCTCTCTCGCGCGCGCGCGCATCGTTTCAGCGCCAGTCGCTAACCCAACCGCCCGGGGATGAAATAATAATACTAAATACTCTCTCTGGCTTGGGTTTTAAGGTTTTTCTGCGTCGCTGCGCTGCGCCCATCGCACACACACCCACCCCCGCCAATCAACCGGGTCCTTACACACCCCCCGTCAATGCGCGCAAATCGCTGATACGATACGACACCGCGTTTATCCCTTGCGGGAAAAGGAAGGAAAAAAAGGTTTGATTCGAGTCAAAACAGCCCATGCAACCTCAGGAGGAAGGGGGCCGCCGTCAGCGCAGTCGCCTGGTGAGGAAATACGAACGGATTGTCGCTGCTTGATGCTCGCGCTCGCGCTAACGTGCAGCGCTGGTGGGCGGTGGGCCGGCTGTTGTTGTTGGCTGTGCTTGGGCCACTACTACTTACTACTGCCCCTGCTGGGGATCCTCGGGCGGCGGCGGCGGCGGCGGCGGCCTCGACGGTTTCCCCCGTGTGCCCGGCGCCCGCCCTGCCCTGGCGCTGCTGCTGCTGCAGCTGGCTGCTGCCACGGCCACGACCACACACTACGGAGTACGGAGTACGGAGTACTTACTGCGACTGCGCTACTCCTCATCCTCCTGGTCGTTCCGCGTCGCCCGCCGCCGCCCGCCAGGTCTTGTCTCGCCCAATAATAATAATAACAACATGCAAGCGGCCGAGCTAAATACCCGCAAATAACCCCCAGACAGACCAGATCCGTGCCGCCCACTTCTCTCCCAACCACGGACTCTCGCGCTCGCGCGCTCTGGCTGCAGCAACGGCCCCCATGTGCCCCGTCGCCCTGGGCCTGCGACTTGGCTGCCTCCGGAAGGTGGGAACACTGGTCGCTTAAGCCGTGGGCGCTGTCACTATTTCCAATCTGATACATCATCCGACAAAACCTCCGCCCGCCCGCCCGCGCCCAGCCCAGCCCAGGTGTGTGTGCGCGCGCGCGCGAGAGGCGCAAAAATAATAAAAAAAGATAAAACACGACCCAGCGGCTGGTCCAAAACCTGGGCCATGCGCCAGCCCTTTTTTTTTTTTTTGCTCTCTCACGGTCCTCATTTTGGCGCTGGTAAAACAACGCGTAACCCAAGTGTTCCATCGACGGCCACGTAACGGCTGTTCGAAAAACACACGCCTGGAGGCTCGGTGAACTCTTTTATAACCTTCCCGCCAACCAAACCCTGTTTGAAATTGCCCGCACCGGGCACCTGAAACATCATTCAAGTACGGAGTATCTAAGCGCTGGATCTGCCCGTCTACCCGTTGCTCGTAAAACACCCACGCCCACATGCGCGCAGTAGTAGTTACCCTTCTTCGCAGCGCGGAACTCCCCGCGAGCCGAGCTGAGAAAGTCGCGCGCGCGGGCGCGTGAACACCAAAGGAAACAAGGCTGAAACACGCGTGCATCAAGGCCCGGCGCATAATCAATAATAATAATAATAATGGGTTGAGTTGACGGACACGTCAGATCGGCCCCCGGGTGCCCAAGCAAGGAAACTTGCTACCAGCGCCGTGGGAAGAGAGGTACTACGGAGTACTACTGGCGAAGGAGAGACCATGCTTTCTGGACGCCGGGCGGGTCTTTTTCCCCTTTGCCGCGTGGAAGAAAGGGCGTCGACAACAACAATAAGAATATCTATGGCGCCTCAGCACAACCAAGCCAGCCAGCCAGCCAGCCTCGACGGAACGCAAAACGTGGTATTATTACAGCCCATACGCGCTGCGTACGGCCTGGGCCCCAACCAACGGGGGCCAATTCGCGCCTAAACAAAATCAATCCCGTCCTTGGCGTCGGCACGAACGAGCTCGCTAACTCAGAGCATAGGGGCGTGCTCTCTTTTACTCCATATACCCAGCGCGTACGAAGTACAACTAATTAACTAATAATAATAATAATACCAGTGACCATACGCTTCAACGCCCCCTTCTTTAGCGCAAGAACCCGCTTCTCACCCTTCTTCGAACGTTCGGGGAAACGCAGATCCCCCAACTCCTCCAGACCAGACCCAAGCGCAGACACGGGAGTATCCATATTTATTACAAATTCTCCTCGTTCGATGTCTCTCCATCCACCCGTCGGTGTGTACTCTGTACTCTGTACGTCGTAGTTATGTAACCACTAGTTGCACAGGGGAAGGGCCGGGGACTGTTCCCGTGGTTTCCGCGGCTGCCGGCTGGAATTGGGGTGTGGAGTGGCTTGGGAGGGAGTGAAGGGGGGGGGGGGGGGGGTGTTTTGGGCTGTGCTGGGCCGCAAATAATAATAATGGACAAACACCCGATACTCTTCTGTATACCGGACCGTACGATTCTCGATCGTTCTCGGCTGCTTTTGGTTCGATTGGCGATTAAACTGAGCACACGGCGGTGCGGCGTGACTGACTAACCGACTAACTACGGAGTACGGCGTGACTGCGCGCCGAGGAAAGGGAGGATGGGCTTATTTTTTTGGGCCGCCACACACACACATCCTCGCCCGCGCATTTTTGTTTTGCCATTGAGGTGGGCGGGAAAGATTTTATTTTTTTTTTTTTTTTGTTTTGGCGGTTGGATGTTATTTGGAAGCAGAGCGCGCTTTTGGGCCACAGGTCCCCCGGATGGATCTGACGGTTTCGCGCACTGGGATTGGAGGGCGTTCATACTGGGCTTACATACATAGGGTGGAAGGTTTGATGGGCGCAGGGCGCCGAAAAAAAAAAACAAAAACAAACAAAAGAGTAAGAAATCGCCGCGAGTGCTCCGTATGGAGTACAATTACTAGTCATACACCGTAGCCTACATCTACTCTTGGGTGCTGGGTGCATAGGAAGCAACCTCCGGAAGCTAGGGTAGTTAGGCGTTGGGTTCGGTATCTTACAACCTTTTGCGCCGACTCATATTTGGTGCCTGATCAAAAACATCCTGTTGACTTCTGATATCGCACCTCGTGGCTCCGAGCTGTGGCTGGTGGCTGAGATTGCTACCACTGCAGCGGTGAACGCAAGGAGGGAAAATAGTGGATATCGAATCGGAGCCTGGGCTTTTTGTTTTTTGTCTGTGCCGCTGGGAATTTTTGTGACGGCCAGAATGCAAATTATTAATCGGCAGAAAACAAAAAAAAAAATCCTGGCCCAGACAAAATAATACTATACACCGGAGCCATCATCAGCCCACAGGCCACACAGTTCTGCCGTGCTGTGCTCGGCAAGTTTTTGCGAAGGAAAAAAAGTCAGCCCCCAAAGCCAAATATCACCCCCCACCCCCAAGACGATCACCCGCACAGTCCGATGATACACGCCCTGCTCCTCGGCAACGAAGCTTGGTACTCACCCCTCCCCTCCCCAACCGCCCGGCCAGGCGAGTGCGACCCCCCGCGCGGCAAAAAGTCGGCGGAAAAGAGGTGTGTGCCGTGTTGGTAACGACCTCTTGGCCTCCAGCCGATGCCAGACGCTTCAGGCGCCGAGGGACCCTGATCGAGAAAAAAAAAAAGGAGCCCCCTGGGGGGCACCTTGCTCTTTCATATGTAGTTTAAGTGGCCTCGGGCTCTAGTGACTAGTGTCGTACGAGTGTCACGAATCATGCCATTCTTCGTAGGAAAGGCGAAAAGCCAAGTTTGTTGTGTGTTAGAGAGGGGAAGGAGAAAGAGAAGAAAAAAAAAAAAAAGACCGGACCCTTGTTTGAAGGAGCAGGCGGCGCAGGGCCCTGGCTGATCACTCGTCGCGCTGGCAAGCTGAATGGGCTGTAGGTGCTGCATAGGAGTAGTTACCTGGTTACCTCCCCCCACTACTGACACGACGCATCTTCGGCTTTGTTGCGCCAGAGAGCGCGCGTGGATAGTCCGGGCCGCCACGGCGTTCCAGCAAACAAAGGCGGCAATCCAAGCAGGCAAGCGAGCGAGCGAGCGAGCGTCTGGCAGATGCAACATGGGCAGCTGAGGCCTGCCGGGCGGCGTAGTTAGTTAGTTATGTGGTGCAACAGGCGGGCGTGATTGATCGGCAGCAAACTCGGGACCACGCCAGATGGCGGCCCAAGATGGAGTATAGTACGGAGTACAGAGTACCTACGTGGTAAGACGGCCAGCAAGCAGGCCCGTCACGTGCGGCGTGCTGATTGCCGAAAACGCCAGCCTTGCTTGCCCACGGCCACAGGCGCGGCCGCGGGCGAAGCGACGAGCGTGCCCGGCCAGCCTGCCCGGCGACTCTGCCTGGCGGGCGACCACTCGCTACCTACCGAACTTCACTGCCATCTAACAAACTACCGCACTGCCGGCCAACTCCAGATGTGCGCCTCCCCGAGCAGCGCCCCGATCAGACAAAGCCATGGAATGGCTACTTAACCGCTCTGTCTATCGCCTGCTCTCCTGATCTCTGCTTTTCTCCCCGGTCGCTCGCGCGGTTGTCGCGATCAGATTAGTTACCCGATGCCCAGACCTCAATTTCACGTGGCCATCGTCGGAGCCGGTCTTGGTGGCCTGGCCGCCGCCATTGGGATTGCCAGAGCCGGCCACAGGGTCTCTCTTCTCGAGCAGGCCCCCGAGCTGGGAGAGGTATGTATAACTGATGAACTTGCTCCCCCCTCCCCTTCTTTTCCTCGGCGGTGCCGCGTGTGGCGTCTAGTGTTAAAGACCGTTGCCATTCCAGATAGGCGCCGGCATCCAAATTCCTCCCAACGCCTCCCTGATCCTCAAGCGATGGGATCTTCTCGATGAAATAGAGACCGTCTCCGTTCGCCCCAAGGATTTCATCCTCCGCTCCTATCGCGATGGGCGCGTACTCTCGGTGCAGAACGTCCTGCCCTACACCGAAAATCAATATGGCACTCCGTACCTGCACATCCACCGAGCCGACTACCATCGGATCCTCTTGAAGGCGGCAATACGGCAGGGCGTCCAGATCTTACTTGATTCGACCGTCGTCGGCATCGATTTTCAGACCCCGGCCGTGCAGCTGAAAGGAAAGCCTGACTTCTATGCCGACATTGTGCTTGGCGCCGATGGCCTCAAGTCGGTATGTCGGGAAGCGCTCCTTGGCCATGCCGACCCTCCTCGTCTGACGGGAGACTTGGCTTATCGCATTATTGTGAAGGCCGAGGATATGAGAACGCATCCCGAGCTGTCAGAATTCCTGGAGCAGCCTTGCATTAACTACTGGATGGGGCCAGACGCGCACGCCGTGTGCTATTTCCTCCAGGGCGGCGGTCTTTATAATATTGTGTTGATCTGCCCGGACAATCTACCCGAGCTTGTGAATATTGCACAGGCGGACCTGGAAGAAATGCATACTCTCTTTGAGAATTGGGATCCACGGCTGAAAGTTATCCTCAACTTGGTCCAGGAAACGAAGAAATGGAGACTGCAAAACAGTGAGGAAATGAAAACATGGTCACATCCTAGCGGGAAGTTTGCCCTACTAGGCGATGCCTGCCATGCAACCCTTCCATATCTGTAAGTGTTGGAATATTTGCTGCGATACTCTCAAAACTAATGTAACCACCCCAGAGCTCAAGGAGCTGCACAGGCCGTGGAGGACGGCGCCGTACTGGGCACGCTTTTTGAGCAGGTTGAAAATAGATCCCAGCTTGGCGATCTACTCGCCATATACGAAAGAGTGCGCAAGGCAAGAACCACTCGCGTGGTTCGAGGAAGCACGGCGCTGCGGGACATCTTCCACATGCACGATGGCGAAAACCAACGGGAGCGCGACAGGGTTCTGCTGACCCAGGCGCCCTTCGAAGGCTTTCCCAACCGCTGGGCCGACCCCGTGTTCCAGAAGTTCTTGTTTGGATATGACGCTCGCGCCGAAGCCCAGCGGGCATGGGATGAGTACAAGCGAGGGAATGCTCCTGAGTCCCGTAAGAAGTTTGAGTCGCGGCTGTGATTTTGATATTGAAGCGTTGCGTCTTTGAGCCATGTTTGTTTATCTTCATGACGGCATTTCCATCCTTCTCTTTCTTATTTAGTCCTTTAAATACTCTCCGCAATAATGAACGCCCGGGCTGTATAGGTCAATCAAGTTGAATTCCACTCTCACATGCTTCACTTTAAAACCCCTAGACTTAAGACGACCCCTCCTGCCGTCGCTACTGACGGTTACTTAACTCCCTTGAGCGAAGTTGCGTTTCTTGTTGATGGCCGGCTGACTAAGCGTGCTTATCAAGGAATGCTGGAATTGCTGCGCTGGATTCTTCTCGGGGCAACAATCGACCATTTTTGCTGGCTTCAAGCGGTTTTGTATTTTGGGCCTTCCTCGCTGGTTTTTCTTTTCTTTTGCTTCCTCCGCGCGCCCCCCCCGCCATGCGAGCTTGATCCAGCACCGTGACCTATCACCAAAAGCCACCCACCGCTTTACCAACATTTACTTACCCCTCCCCTCACACACCCTCTCTCCCATTCTCCCTCGTCGACGGCCAAATCCATCCCCCCAGGCATCCAAGGCTGCTGCCTATCGCCTCTGCCGCGCTCGTGATATATATTCGGCACTCTCAATTCTTACGTGCTGGTTGGGCAAGACGCAAACTGACCGTGTTTTGCTGCGTGCCGTCGCTGACCTCGGTGCGCGATGTCCGTGTCAATACCGGAGCTGGACAACACTGTCCGAGCTTTCTATGAAGGATCGGGGGATGTTGTACGTTCCATTGCTAGTACTTCTAAATTTTCTAAAAGAAAGAAAAAAAAAAAACAATTCCAAAGATACTGATTTTTTCTTGATGTTTTTTTGCTGTAGCGGAAACAAGCCCAGCAATCTTTAACAGAGGTGCGTCATCCGTCACTTTGTGAGGATTTACTGATCCCCACCGCGTGATACTTACGTTCAATTTTGCAGTTCAAGCAAAATCCGGATGCCTGGCTATTAGTGGGGAACATTCTCCAAGAGTCGAATTATGTCCAGACGAAATGCAAGCACGCCCCCCTGAACCCTGCTGCAAATACCTAGCTGCTGACTCTGTATCTAGATCTGGCACTTCAGGTTTTAGACGATGTTATTATGACACGCTGGAAGGTCTTACCACGAGATCAATGTCAGGGTGCGCATCCTCTTCCCTTCCCACCCCCATAGGTCGATGCCGTTGCGCTCATGTCGTTTCTAGGAATTCGAAATTTCATCGTCAACTGCATCATCGAACACTCGAAAACAGAGGATAAATTGAAAAGCGAACGGGCCTTTCTGAACAAGTTGAATCTGGTACTGGTGTCCATTTTGAAGCAGGAGTGGCCGCATAACTGGCCCACATTCATCAACGAAATCATCTCGTCATGCCACACCAGTTTGTCGATTTGCGAAAACAACATGGTGATTCTGCGCTTGCTATCAGAGGAGGTTTTCGATTACTCGCAGGACCAGATGACCTCGACCAAGGCCCGGAATTTGAAAACTACGATGTGTCAGGAATTCTCGTCGATCTTCCAATTGTGCATCGAGGTATTAAGCACCGCAACTCAAAGCAGCTTGGTTAAGGCTACCTTAGAAACCTTACTACGGTTTCTTAATTGGATTCCGTTGGGCTATGTCTTTGAGACTCAGATTATCGACACGCTTCTTAACCGCTTCTTGGATGTGCCAGACTTTCGAAATGCGACAATGAAGTGCTTGACCGAAATCGGAGGGTTGCAGGTTGGCTCCCAGTTTTCATATGACGAGAAACTTGTGCATATGTTCACTGAGACTCTAACCACCGTCTCGAAAATCATTCCCTTATCTCTGGATTTACGACAGACATACTCGACCAGCAACTCTCGAGATCAGGAGTTCGTTCTCAATCTGGCACTCTTTCTCACCAACTTTTTTAGTGTTCGCCTGAATGTAAGTCCCTCCGTGCTGCCTTTATTACGCCAACTCTGCCAATCTAACAATCTCCTAGCTTATCGAGCGTCTTCCGAATCGTGACTACTTAGCACATGGCCATTTCTACCTCATCCGCATCAGTCAAATTGACGACCGCGAGATCTTTAAGATTTGCCTAGAGTACTGGACGAAGCTTGTCCAGGAGTTATACGAGGAGATGCAACAGCTACCAATCACGGATATCAATCCCCTTGTGAGCATGGGCGTCAGCGGCCTTTCCAACGGAGGAGCTCCTAACCCTACCACTCTCGCTAATTATCCTCTTCGAAAACATAAATTCTCCGAAGTTCTTTCCAGCCTCAGAACTGTGATGATCGAGAAGATGGTACGACCTGAAGAAGTCTTGATCGTCGAGAACGATGAGGGTGAAATTGTCCGGGAGTTTGTGAAGGAAAGCGACACTATTCAATTATACAAGACCACCAGAGAATGCTTGGTCTACCTTACACATCTCGACGTCGTCGACACGGAAAACATCATGGCAGACAAGCTATCCAAACAGGTGGATGGCACTGAGTGGTCGTGGGCGAATTGCAACACACTATGCTGGGCTATCGGGTCGATATCTGGTGCGATGAACGAAGAAACAGAGAAGAGATTCCTTGTGACAGTCATTAAAGACCTTCTTGGATTGACTGAGATGAAACGAGGGAAAGACAACAAAGCTGTGGTTGCAAGTAATATTATGTATATTGTTGGACAATACCCTAGGTTTTTGAAAGCCCACTGGAAGTTCTTGAAGACCGTGGTGAATAAACTGTTTGAATTCATGCATGAGACACATGAAGGTATGTACCCACGAAGCCATTGTATTCAACCCTTCTAACCCGACTCTCGGTTTGAACAGGTGTCCAAGACATGGCGTGCGATACCTTCATCAAGATTGCCAACAAGTGTAAACGACACTTTGCTGTGCATCAGCCTGGCGAGTCGGAACCGTTCATTGACGAAATTCTTGGGTCAATGAGAAAGATCACCTGTGATCTATCGCCACAGCAGGTTCACACCTTCTACGAAGCCTGTGGCTACATGATTTCGGCTCAAGGCCAGAAGTCGATACAGGACCGACTCATCGGGGAACTGATGTCCTTACCCAACTCTGCTTGGGATGCCATCATCAACCAAGCGAACCAGGACCCTGCGATTCTGCAAGACGGAGAAACGATAAAGATTGTGGGGAATATCATGAAGACCAACGTCGCGGCATGCTCTTCGATTGGTAGTTACTTTTATTCGCAGATTGGTCGCATATATCATGATATGCTGAACATGTACCGTGCTTCGAGCCAGTTGATTAATGAAGCTGTTGCGAGAGACGGTCAGTATGTTGACTCGGATTCATCAGATGTGATACTGACTGGCGCTAGGAAATATTGCAACGAAGACACCGAAAGTTCGCGGCCTTAGGACTATCAAGAAGGAGATTTTAAAACTTGTTGATATCTATGTCGAGAAGGCAGACGACTTGGAAATGGTCAATAGCAACATGGTCCCTCCACTTCTTGAAGCCGTTCTTCTAGATTATAACCGCAACGTGCCCGATGCTCGAGAAGCGGAGGTTCTAAATGTTATGACGACAATTATCCACAAGCTTCATGTGAGTGCCCTCTACTGCCCTTCGTCTGTCTTCCATGGTAGACTAGCAACTTGCTAATATCACCTCAGGGCATGATGGAAGACAAAGTACCCATTATTATGGAGAGTGTTTTTGAATGCACCCTGGAGATGATCAACAAAGATTTCCACGAATACCCCGAGCATCGTGTCAGCTTTTTCAAATTGCTCCAGGCTATCAACCTCTACTGCTTCCCTGCGCTGCTTAAACTAGATGGAAGCCAATTTAAATTTGTCATTGACTCTTGCATGTGGGCCAGCAAGCATGATAACCGAGAAGTGGAAAATACGGGTCTGGCTATGTGCCTTGAGCTGATGAACAACATGGCAGAAACCAACCCGCAAACATCAGGGATATTTTTCCAGCAATTCTACATTCCGATCCTTCAGGACGTATTCTTCGTTCTTACCGATACTGATCACAAAGCTGGTACGCTAAAACAATACTACGGTACATAAGATTTAGGCTAACAGGGTTCCCTTTAGGCTTTAAATCCCAAGCCATGCTTCTTTCCCGCATGTTCTACTTTGTCGCCGCTGATAAAATACAGCAACCAATTTACTCTGCAGACCAAGCACCAATGGGGACACCGAACAGAGAGTTTCTTCAGCAATACGTGGCCAACCTTCTCCAGACGGCCTTTAAAAACTTACAAGAGTAGGTCCTTCATCGTATCATATTTCATGTTGGGCTGCTAATATAGTATATTGCAGGTTGCAAGTTAAACAGTTTGTGCAGGGACTGTTCGCCTTCAACGAAGATTTCACGAAGTTCAAAACTCACCTGAGAGATTTCTTGATCTCGTTGAAAGAGTTCGCTGGAGATAATGCTGAACTCTACGCCGAAGAAAGAGAGCAGGCGCTCAAGGAAGCAAAAGCTGCGGAGAGAGACCGTGCAATGAAGGTTGGCGGTCTGTTGAAACCTGCCGAGATGGATCAGGAAGATGAGCTGTGACTGGAAGAGGAATTGAGAGCTGAGTTTTCAAAGCCTGCCGGCGAGGACTCTCTCCACTCTTCCAGCTCGCGCTCAAAGGGCGGTATTTTCGATGGTTGGGATTTGTACAACTTGTAAAAGGGCCCCCCCCTCCTCCCTTCTCCCGAAATAAATCATGTCCCCGAGTGAATCGAACTCCGTATACAATGTTTGAAAAAGCGTCAACTACTGGCATAGGTTGGCGACTTCACCCAGTGAAAGGTGTATGCTGGCGCAAGGGGTCAAAAGGGGATAATTTACTATTTCAATACCACATCAGGAGAAAAAAAAAGAAAGGAATACTACGTTGCAATTGGAGCAGTGTATCGGCACTTATTGCCTCTTATTGTTGGATTTAAGTTCGCACATGGATGTCCTATCGTGACTCTGGCGCGCATTTGAACACGTAGTCCCTCCTGGTCCTGGAAGCTGTAGATATTCGCAGATTTTAGAATATCAATACACCCATTTCAAAAGTTTCTGGTATTGACGGGTTTGCGACCTAACTGCTCCACCAGGAAGTGAAGGAACAGCATGCGGGGCCTTTTTGCCTGTTGTACTGCTGTTTTCTATCTGCTGTTGGGAAGGTTAGCTGGTGGTATCTAGGATAGCTCCTCATCGCAGACAAACAAAACGGGGAACCTTGCATCGCTCTAGAGCCGACTAGAAGACCCTATCCTCACGGAACAGAGATACGGCTCGCTATACGAGCTCGACCAGGCTGCGGGATACGCCCCAACAGGTCCAGAGGGCCTGGTCCTGACGAACGGACGGGAACCTCTCCAGGTTCTGGTTCGAAATCCTGGGCACCACTGCCTGACGATCAATTTGGCGGCTTATAACCGGACTCCCAGGTTCATGGCCTGAGCCTAGTCTACTTTAACGGCGACGAGCAGGACATTTATAGTTAGTTACCTCTCTTCAAAGCTTGTTTCGTTTTCCAGTACCAAGCTTTTGGCCATATAAAGTCTAACGTTCTCAAGTTTCTCAACCCCTCGATGCAGCTTAACAGATGTCTTATCTTCAATAATAAGAATTAACTAGTTACTCCCTTACAATAGTATCCTGTATGGCCTCCTGCTCCTCGTCGCGCTCGCCGAACCCTTTGATTCCTTTCAGTTGTGTGGTTCGGCTGCCCAGCAGGGCATGCCAGGTCGTTCGGACAATTAGCCAGGCCATCCATGTGCAGTGGACATATAATATCTGGATCATGTGAATATGTAAAATTCCGGTTACCTTGGGCATATGGCTAGCGCTGCGTTTTACCGCCCCCCTTGCATCTTTGATGCTAGGTCTATTCCGCTGACGTGTGCTGCGCTCGCCTTGCCATGTAGCCCTGGAGATGGTTAGCCGAGTGCGGAAAACCTCCATATCAGTTAATCTCCTAGGGTTTAGGTTGCGTTGCTAATCCGTCTGGCACCACCGTCAAGGGGATATCTCACATCCATTGGAAATTGCCTCTTGCCCCCTCCAACATCAGCATTTCTTGATCATGCTAAAGAACCTTCTTAGAACTTACAATGTGTCTGTCTGAGAGCTTCTATTCTTCTTCTAGGCCCGATTCTCCCGCTTTCTTCTGCTGCTGGAACGCCATCTCGCTTCCGTCTAGCAAGGCGAACCTGGCGTTTAGACGTTGCTGAGGCCTCTCGACATGTTTGGTTCGTCCAAATGAGCGTTCCAGTTTCTGATAGAGCTGTGCCGTTGTCTCCAGCTTTCTCTTAAAACCCTGGGGTAGCTTTCTCATGCCTAAGAGGGGTTGTGATACCAGGGTAATGTTCCGAATTGGATGGCGGTGACTTTGCCTACTCGTATACCCCAGAGTCTCGATGACCTATAGGGGATACCGCAGTAGATGCATGAAGGCCATGAGAGCATTTGGTTTGCTTTCCAATAATCCCGCCTATCACGAAGTTACTGGGGGAATCCAAGCAGACAAAATCCAGGTTTGATATAGATTCTACGCTGTTCCAGTACCTATTCCCGTATTCAGAGAATCAGGTTACATCCATCAACCTTCTAATATGCGATGCTCCTTTTTACCCTTGACGGAGACTATGGCAAGAGTCTCCGGAGAAACATATAAATTTTGCCTCCTCCTCCGTTGAAATTCATTCTTCTCAGCAACAAATCAAAATTCATATCATTTCAGATATATCTCTTTGCTTAACAATCGAAGCAGCTTCGGTACGTCAACATCTTATCAGCTTAGGTGGATGATTTCTAATTCTCAACACAGAAACCATGAAGTTCATTACTCTCGCTCTTCTTTCCTCCCTCAGCATCGCTTCCGCATGGAAGTTGACACTCCACGCCACTGATGGACGCGAGTCTACGATGAGCGGCAGAGACGATGTTAAGTGCGAGAACGTCGGCGTCCACCCCACGCTCAATGTGGACCGCGCACACTTCGATCCCAGGACCCACCACCACCGTGACCCAACCAAGTTTGAGCTCTTCTCCGAGAGAGACTGCGAGCACTTCAGCTACCGCAACGAGGCCGGTGACCACAAATTCTCCCCACGAAAGATCCGCAGCTACAGAGTGTTGTAATTCTTCTTCCTACGATCCCGAGGCGGCTGATGTCCCTGCCAATACGAACCTTTCGAACTTGACAACGATAGGGCTAGGAGCCGGGTAATTAGTGAGCTTTATTTTTAAGGGGGGTGGCTGAAAGGGCAATGTTAATATATATTGAGACTTGATAATCCCAATGACATGCCAATATTGATTTCTAGAATACCTACTTCTCTTGTTCAGCGTAAGACCTAGAATCTCACCCTACTTTATTACTATTCAGCCTAGTTTCCTCCATTTCTAGAATCAATCCGTAGGGCCCACACCAACTTAAGAAGTAGACACTACGACGCATTCATCTCCAGAAAGAAGACTTATATAAGACTACATGCATATGTTAGAGTGAGTTTAAAGTGAAACTGGGACTGCTTTTATATCTTCTATATACGGAATATAAATGCAAGATCTAATTATCGGTACCTTCACTCCACCCCATTTGACATCAAATTCCAAACCCGTTCAAAGCACACCACATCTGGCCAGACACCCTCAAAAATACACAAGATACAAGAAATGTTTCATATTTAGAACATCCAAACCGCTGGCTTTTGGCAACCAATCCCAGTATATGTCCTTTTCAGCATATGTTGATCACGGTAGTTTTACCATGCCAATATGATCTAGTCACTGGGAGGCGCATGCGTGTGGAAATGAGGCGAATTTGGTTGGTGGATGGCTGCTGGGCGGAGGAGAACATGCTGGTTTAGAGAGCACTCGCTTCTGAGCGCAAAGCACGGTTGGTTGGAGTAGAGCCAGGCGCTCCAGTACTTGAAGCAATGTCCCGTTGCTGAAGGGTAGTTGGATTAATGTCCTGTTTCAGAACAGTAGTTGGCTCAACGGCCCGTTGCTGAAGGGTAGTTGGAATGGCCTGTTTCAGAACAGTAGTTGGGTCAACGGCCCGTTGCTGAAGGGTAGTTGAAATGGCATGGTTCAGAACAGTAGTTGGGTCAAGGGCCCGTTGCTCAAGGATAGGGGAAGCAAGGGCAGGAGTAACCCAACAAAAGGCTAGGGTGATGAGAAACTCGCTATACATCTTGCTATGAAGAAATGGTCAGGTAATGGGAATAAGAGCTTGTGATAATCTGCTTGAGATCTGAATAGCAACAGAGGTGGAGGTTTGAGAGGGGACATACGGTGTTTTATATCAAAAAAAGTCTGCTTAAGTTTGCCAGTGATGCTTAGAAACTTCTTTCTTGGAACGCTTTCCTCTCTGACCCCAAACAGCGGATTCCTGTGCCATGGTTATGAAAGGCTTCATCGCCATACAGCCAAGAATTTAGAGAATCAAATGCTCTCTCACTAAACAATGAATTTCAAATGCCAACCTCCAAGGTACGGTGGACAGAACACGACGCTTTCCATTACTGTCAAGGGTAGATCTCCGGCCAGTAGCCCCACCTACCAGGCACTGATAGCAAAGTATCGGTTCAGCCAGGCAGGAGTTCTCTTTGCCAGTAAAGGATCTGGGCAAGGGTACATAATTGTATTAGCAGGGTAGCATTGGGATGCAGAAAAGAGATGAGCTTTGGATAATCTGTATCAAAGCCGAAGTTATGGAGAAATCCAAGAGAAAAGGAGCTGGACATGTGTAGAAGTGTAAATCCGGACAGGACGTCTTGTTGAAGTCACTATATTCTTTATCACTTGGCCGGGGAAGTTTTTGCGACTTTTCGTCACTGTTCTGAATTCAGTGACGCGTACGGAGTATACGTATTTTCCCTAAGTCCGCTAAGTCTATCCTCACCAAGGACTCCGTAGTAGTATGACTTCATCAAATGTTAAGTGGCTCCTTGTTCACTGGTTCTTGATGGGTATCATAGGTAGTTACATACCTAGTAGTTAGACAAGCCTTGTGAAAATAGAATGCGGCCAGGGCTTGTGCGAGAGAGCTTTCTACCCAGCCAAGAGCACAGCCACCCTTCCATCAGTGATATGCATTTTCTCTTCGCAACGACTAACAGAAAATATTCAACTTCAATCAGTCCCCACCTAGAATGTTCTTTATTGCAGTACTCATATCCATGTTGGACCCAAGTTCCAAGGTATCGCCTTGTTTGAAGACCTGTAATCCTTTTGCTCGAATGAGGCTGCACCTATACGTATGCCGATGGCTTGCCGCCTGGCGAGAGTCAGTCTCTGCGGCACAGATATGCTGAGTGAAAGGGGCTGAATAGTTAGGCCATACACTACGGAGTAGTTAGACATCCTTCAGGGTCGAGCCAAACAAGCAGGTTTTCACGCCAAGTAAAATGATATCAGTGTTGAGTTGCTGTTCTTTTTCACATGTTTGAAGTTCGCAAAGCTGATATACAGAGTACGGCAATAATACCACCAAAAAATGTTGATACCCTGCCCTTCCAAGCCCTGAAGCCGAGTCAGAAGCACGACATGTGGAAAACGGAGTACTACCGGCTTCCCTTGCTGGTAGTGATGTGGCTGTTGACGTTAATTCTTCACCACTTTTATTTGTGTGCTACCATGATGTCCGGGGTGCAGCCCAGCGGAGCGGGTTGGAATTAGAGCTATTCCTTTTTTGTATTAGTCTTACGGAGCACTAATTCAACGCATGTCGATCAGGCCATGCTCCCTACCAGACCCCCGGTGTCAATGTCTACTCCGTATAGATTTCGTAGGACGAACCAATTTAATACAAGAATAGCCACGAGTAGGATATACATATATCCCCAGGACATGCCGGTTAAATGAACGCCCACTTAGACATAATTCGTGGCTAGGTAACCTACTCCGTACTCCGTACCTAATAACAAGTCTTAGAGAATGCGCTAACCTTTATGGTTTTTCGTCTTCCTTCGGCCTATAGGAGTTAACGCCGAGTTCTGCGAATTAAGGTACGGAGTACGGAGTACCCCGTAGTTAGTTAGCTACCCAACCTTAACTACTCCGTACCCCCGTAGCGGAATCCAGATCTTCTACTGATTTTCCGAGCCGTTTTATACAACAACATTGGAAGGCATCATAGTTCCAATGTTGGTATAGTAGCTACAACGTGTATTTCGACTACTATGTACGCGGTAGAAGGAGCTCACCGCTTTGAATCTACTATACTCCGTATAGCGATTGCTTTTTTTTAATACAGAGATGATCTGCCAGTGAAAATTTTCCAAATCTCTAAATCGTTTTCACTAACTCTTTTCTCTACTAGCTAGGTGACTACGGATTTTCTACCATCCCACCAGCCAAGAGACTACGCAATTTCCCACTATTCTCCCAGCTATGAGGTTACATGCTCTTCTACTATTCCTACTATTTTCATAGTTTTTGCGGACTTAGAACCTTTTTGGACGGTGTTTTGTTTGGATGTAGCACTCCGTAATGTGGGCGTGGTTGCACTGAGCTCAATAGCTACCTGTACAGAGTACTAGATGAAGAAATTTAAAATTCAAATACTCCGTGCCCTCACTACATGCAGATATAATAGCAATTCAACCAACAAGTTGAACTACCAGCTTTGGTAAGATTATGTGGTTGTACCCCCGTAATTTCAACGTTTTCTTGAGTGGCGGCTCTAAAAGCGCCGTCCTAAAACTATAAAATACGGAGTACTCTATAGACCAGAATTTGCATTGTTTGCATCTGGTTGCACTACTCTGCCATCCCGACATGATTTTATTAAACGATGATCCATCTTCCAACCAATGCAATAATCCACGACGGAGTGCTCCGTATTTGCACCTCTATCCTCTAAGACATCACGCTCCTCTTTTATGCCCTCGTGTATATACCTAACTGCTAACACTCGCACATAGCCGTCATAATTGCACATATCATGTCACAATCAAGCAGACCAACCCCCCCAACGACAACTACCACTCAAACCGAGTCTCCTCAGGCTGAACTGACAAGACATGGCTTACCTATCACTGGAACATTGATACTACGTGGCGAACCATCCACGAGAGAATTAGCGCCTGCGGAAAGGAGGGGCATAAGATGGGCCGATGATGTTGTGAATAACGAAGGGCAGGGAAAGAAGAGCTCCAAAGGTATGAATTTCCTAATGAAACGGACTCAGAGTATCCTGCTAATGCTTGCCTCTGACTAGTCTGCTGTATATACCATAAACCTCGTGCCGTTGGAGAGAGCAGCTCCGAATCGGATTCCTCTGATTCGGATTCGCCTGGAAGTGATAGCGAAGTAGATAGTGGGGAGGCCGGAGTCGCAAAAGGCCGATCTCGCGGCTGCCGGTCGCATAACGATAATAGCCATGATCATGATAATTGCCACAATGATGGCCCTTCGAATACGGACTCTGGTTTAAAACCACCAGAGAGAAAGCCGAAACGAAACGCTTATGAACGGGTTCCAAATTATAACAAGAAAGGGGAAGATGTTAAAAAAGAAAATTGATTAATTCACTCGTATATTTTGATAAAAACTTTCCGCCTATTGGAGATGTGGTCTTTGGGGGAAAACTGTTCTTTTTGCTGAATTGGCCGGAATGGAAAATGACGCCTACATATCCCTATATAAATCATAGCGACTGGCGCATTCTTCTGGGAATCGTTCCGCAATTACTTGCTGTGAACCAAGGTAACGATCTGTGGAATGGGATATCCATCGAATGAATAGATTTGATTAGAAATAATTGCTAACATGTAAAAGAGTAGCTATCCTACACCATCATGCTTCTCCTTCTTGTTACAGGGATACGCCGTGTCCGTGCTGAAGAGTCCTCAGCTTCGGTGGGGGGATCCGTTCCCGTGTTCTCCACCAGTTTAGATATACTTTCTTCCATGGATTCATCAAATCCAGTCATGTCAGTCGACGACCCAGCATTCAAGGTATCGAGCCGTTTTTCACGACTGGATATAGAATGCGAAGCATGCGGGTTAGCGCTACAGTTTGCCGGATTGGAAGAGTGTCTTCGGCTCTCATTTGGCTTACTGGTTTGGCAACGCTTCTTGCTTCCGGCAACAAGTGTCGAGATTGCAATACTTGAGGCCGATGGACCCAAACGTGGTTCGAAATTTGAGATAGCAGTAGAACCTTGCGCGTTTAAAGTAGTTATTGACCGAAGCGGTTCACACCGTTCGGATTGCGCCGGGTATAGTAAATATTCCCCCGTGGGGCAACTCTCGTTTGATTCTGCAAATTGTTTGGATGTATGTTGAGTTTTTTCGCTGCCAACAGCATCTATAAGCTCTTCTGTGGGGCGTCGCATTTTATCTCTTAAATTCGGCTCCGCATAGCTAATTGGCCCTCGTGAACGTCGAGATTGCCGTGTCCTTGTGGTCTCAGATGAATGAAGCTCTGTTGGCCTGACATCTGATAGTATCTTGAAGCTGTTCGGGCTGGGAATATTTTTAGGTATTCTTGGATTTGAGATTTCTAAAGCGGTTTCGGTAGGAATGCTTTCCTCCACCTTTCGTGTTGGTAGAAATTTCGAGTGGCTTCCGGAAATGGCAAGCTTTGCGGCGTCGGGCTTGCTAGTATTCAAATCGCTAATGTCTTCCGTTCTAGGTTTACTCTGAGATTTTCCCTTCGACCTTACTGGAGGCCGTTTCGCTTCAACATGAGGCTTCATTTTTTCTGAAGCTGCTTTTACAGGAGATGCAAGATTTGCATTTGAGCTCTCTGAAGGTATATGTTAGTATTATTGAACTATTGAGAATATAAGCATATAAAACAGGTTACTCACTTGGTCCTAAGGCACGCCGGCCACGATTTCGGTCTCTTTTTACAGGTTCAATAGGACTAAATGTTGTTGGTGTAGGCTGGGATTCTGCAATACTATATATCTCTTGGGGTACGGGCTCAGAAAATACGGTCAATCGATTATATTGGAAATCATCTGGTTCCTCTGCTGTTGCTTTCGTAACCAAATCATTTTCTTGTAGGGTAAATTTGCGTTTTGAGCCGGTTTTTGAGGGTTGTGGGTTGAAGTCAAGGTCATTGTTTCCAGTGATGGCATCCACATTGGGGATTATATTTTTTAACAACGAGCTATCTCTCCGCCTTCTTCTTGTCTCCAGGGTCGGCGATTTAGCAGGCGGCATGAAAATATCATTACTAGAGTATTCACTCGTGCCGAGCAGTCCATCTGGTAGAAAGGTAGCCGAAAAATCAGCAGATTCTAGGCGATTTGGCGATGGAGTTGGGGAAATAGATGTTTTCTGTTCTCCGCCGTCATTAATTGGAGATTCGGGTATCTCGTCGACCCTAGTGATCGTATATTAGCCTGGCTACCAAGAGGGGAAAAAAAACATTCTTAGTAAACTACACTTACTCAGGCGTGAGTCTCGGGTAAAATTTGTCTTCCATGATTACGGGCAATCTCTCTTCATCGGTAAAGGCATTGTGGCCTGGCCGGACAGGAGGTCGAACACAAGGCAAACAGATTCCCTGAGCCTCTAAGGTCTGCTGTGATGCCAATATGTTTTTTCGTCTTTGTGGCAATGCACCCAGATCTGTTATCAGCGTGGACAGCTCCGCTAGCTTTTCTCCAAGTTTCTCTTTCACTGTGAATAGTTGAGTATCGAAACGGTCACTGCCTTGGCTCTTCTCGAGCTCTCCTTTCAGCCAGCCAATTTCATCTCGAAGGGTCACATTTTCGGCCAGGACGCGGGTCACATCAGCCTCCAACGTCCTGATGCGAGCAGATTGAAGGGAGTTTGCGCGGGCAAGTTCTCTATTCTGGCGTATGAATCGACGCTTGACTGTCAAATTATGTAGTCAGTACGCAGTTGTTTAAATATTAGCAGTGGGGCTTACGAGACTCCAGGGACTCAGCTGCCGGAGGGAGGTCGTTTAATCGAGCCATCAAGCCGGGGGTTGTATAAGTCAGATGTGATACTGATAGTCTCCGCTCGATCGCTATTTCAAATGTGGCGATAACTGTCTATATAATCGGGAGAAAATTTTCCAGGTCCAAGCCTCTCATACTTGTCGGAGATGGCGATGGCTGACGTTCTGTCTGGCAGGTTGTCGAGTCGATCAACGTCCAAGTCGAAAACGAGGAATTTGTTGATGTTTATCTGTTTAGGGTTAGCGCCGTTGTCCCGCGAGAAATTGCCTACACCGGCTAATCCTGCTGCCTTTCTACAATGGCGTCAACCCTTGCAATCACCACAACTCTTATCACCGACTTCACACGCGGAACGAGCAGCTTCTCCTGCCGGCGCCTACTTATACCCTTGAGAATCTGTACTATGGCCCATGGCCCTCGCCCAACCGGCGTTTTCTCGTCTTCCACTGCCCCATCACTACGACAGTCGGGTGCGCTGTCAAATGTCTCCACACAGCAATCATCGATCCTAGCTGCCCGTGTTGCTGCCAAAAGGTCTGAACTCGATGACCTCAAGCAGTTGCGCGAGGTAAGCGGCGCATTGGCGACCCAAATGGAAGCCTTAAACCAGAAGCTTGAAACGTTGCGAGACGGCGCAGAAGGTTTGTAACTTCAGCAGTCATACCATAAAAAAGCTTGATGCCTGTTCTCAACAGGTGCTAGCTCTATTGAAGGCCTTCTTGCGTTAACCATTTACGTGGCTTATGCTACAGCCGTTGCGTGCGTTATGGCAAACTGGGAGAATGTGTTAAGAGCTATTAATATGGCATCCAGTAAGTGGGATCTACATCAGTACACCTGGTATCACGATGAATCTAATTACCCTCTCCTTTTAGTAAAAGCATCCCAGATCCCTCCTGTAGAAGCCGAATCAGCCTCTCAAGCAGATATTCCAAGGGCGGAGCCCTCGGTTCTTCCTGCGCCATTGGTGAGAATACCCGCCGAACCTCTGCGCACAACGTCGAGTTCGGCGCCGCAGGATTCGTCGTGATAGCTCTGTAAGATGGAGATGCAGAGTAGAAATAGCAATATTGATAGTGGCCGTGATTGCGAATGCTTCAGATGGCTTCTGGCGCATGACAACTATTTGTGAACTACGTTGATTGATAGTTGACTATGGTATGGTGACTTAGATGGTGTACGGAGCATGATGGATAAAATTGACCTCTTTTGGAGTTTAGAGATATCGTTGATTGATACCCTGCCGTCTACTTGTGACAAGAATGGAAAGTATGTATGAAGTATATTATGCTTCTCAACTCTTGCCCACATCTGTGGCAATTGCATTTTCCAGACTCACCGTATATCACATTTGAAAAGTATCCCCGTTGTCTGCGTAGTACAGTTTAAACACAATTGGCAGCGTAACTCGGATAGAGAACGAACAGACTGTTGTGAAATGGAACATGGGCCGAGCCCTTCCCCGCTGCCCGCATTTAAGGCGCAACTCAAAGATCGGCTACCACATCGCGCCAAGGCACCGGCTTGTTGTGGTGAAACTTCTGTAAATCCTCTTCGGTTAGCATTCCATGATGCAATCTATCCTCTATCCTCGCTGTTGTACTACTGGAAAGTGGTGCCTTTCCTGGAGCAGTTGATAGTTCCTTGTTACATATTTGAATCTAGGTTACGGGTTAATTGGCTTTCAGCTAACCCCTGATACTAGCCTTCAACCGCATGCATCATCTCAACTTCATCACAAATGCAATGCCATATACGTCAGCTCTGCAGAACAATGCTGACGGATTAACTGAGAATGCCACTTTCCAGACGCCACTGTTGCCCCCCAAATCAAAGCACGTTTGCTGCCACAAAACACCAGGATCTGGGCACATAAACAAACAAGGATACTAAACACACAACAAAGGCGCGCATTAAAGAAGCACACACTCGTTTATCCGCTTGAATGATTTGTAGCACACCAACCAGACAGTGAAGCAGATATCGCTCGCTTCTAAAAGATTATCAGACCAATCACTTTCCTTCCAAACATCCTCCGTACTAATCCCGCGGGCGCTTTCCCCCGCTCTGACTTGAGGTACGTTCTGATGACATCTACATCGCAGTCAGTCTAAAAAAGTCGCGAAGGAAAACCAGATACTCCTCTTCTTTGTTGCACCGATAGCTGACACTTCAGTGGAGTCTTTAGGAAAGTTCTATTTCCATATCAATGCAATAGACTCTGGATTGGCACAGAAGTCTTTGTTATTCCGACCAGGACGCGCGTATGAACCCATTAGAAGAGCCGACAATGGACAAAGAATCATTTTCTGAGACAACCAGCACCAATCCACCCCTGAAACCTACAAACAACGAAGGCTGGAAGGATGTAGATTGGGAAAAGACAGCGGATCCTGGTACTTCTGAGAGAACCACGAAGATGACAGAAATTAAGGACCCTCTCGAAGCCATTGACGCATTGGAAGACGCGCTGGAGGAGGTCAGAGAGGCCCTGCCGATGCGATTTGACTCTCCTGGCGGAGAGGATTCTCCAATAACCAGTCCTCGTCCCAGACACGAAAATGCTCCACTGAGTCCGCCTCAGAGCCTTGCAGAAAGAAACACCAATCTAGCAGCGTCGAAAAAGGTTTCGGCCTCCGTGACATCGCAGCGCTCCAATGGCTCAAAACCTCGACTGTATCCAATGGCACCGAGACCGGCCTTCAACGCACGAGTGCCGCCAAATTCTAAACAGGGCCAGCGCCCCATTGTTCGCCCAAACCAAACATTAGCAAGTCGTACAAGTATTACGGGGAAGTCAACCGAGCCTCGACCAAGCACTCCAAAAGCGGCTGGTACCAAGTCGCAGAAAGAAAACAGGCTGAGCACCGCGTCTCTCAGCACTTCTAGGCCAGCATTCATCCCGGCCAAATCAACGAAACCGCTCACAAGATCAACATTCGAATTGCCGGGCGAAGCCATCTCGCGACGCATGAGAGCTCAGCGGGAAGAACGCCTCAAGAAAGAAGAGGAAGAGAGGGAGCAAAGAAAACTGTTCAAAGCATCCAAGATTCGATATAGCCATATTCCTGCTGAGGTACGAGAAACATTCACCAGTAGATCTAGAGCTAGCCGGGGTGGTACCGAAAGTCCACTCAAAGTACCGAGCCGTACGACTTCTATCGCTCGGGCCCCCGTCCCTAGATCCAGCCTCTCATCGTCGGTGAGGACGGCCTCGATTGATGGGATGTCTCTTACTCACAGTGCCTCCGATGAGCACCTTGGGCGCCGCGCCTCCTTTGCTCCTGGAGACACGCGTCATTCCTCAGTGAGCAGTGGCCCAACAGCTCGATCCGTCAACAATGCGGCCAGCGGGGCTGGTATCAATGAAGGTAAAGCAAGACACTCCACGGTTACATCAAAGACGCCATCCATGACAGATACCCCGTTGCCCAAGCTGCGAGGGAAAGCGGTACTTGGACGAGATCGACAACTAGTAGAAGACCGAGAGCACGGACGTCGGCAGAAAGAAGAAGCCACAAGACGTGCAAGAGCTGAAGCGGCCGAGCGCGGAAGGCTGGCCAGTCGCGAGTGGGCGGAGAAGGAGAAGCAGAAGGTGAAAGCTCGTCAAAGCCTTGTTGCATGAAACTCTATTAGTTTTGCGAACTGATCGACTCGCACATTTGAAATTTGCGAGGATATGACTGTGTATTTTGTAGCTCTTTCAGCCTATTCACCAGTGGGTATTTGAATGGGTCCATGACATGACAGAGAATGCTCTCGGCCACTCGGCCTGCAGCCCCATTTTCGTGTGGATTCCTAATTCCTTATTATTCATCATACTTTCTGAACATCATTGTTTTATTACTTAGTTAATCGCCCAGTGTTTTCCTTTTTTTTCCTTTCAGAAATAGTTTCTCAGTTTGATGACTGAACGAGTTTGATATTGCGCAGCCAAGGCTCGATATTTATGTCATTATTTCCCCATGCGCAATGTTACATGCTGATGTACGGAGTATGGATAAGACAGATATGCCAGTTCTTCCATGTGATAATAGCTTTCAATTGCATAACACAACGGGCTTGTTGCCAACGCGGTCGAGCGGGTGCCTTGCAGAAGGCCTTCAAGTCAAGGTCGAGGCCTTGCCCGGTATTCTGTAAGCGAACGGCACCTCTGTCTGATACAAATGCAAGATTGCCAGTGGCCTTCAAAATCTACGCCGAGGACAGGTACATACATACATACGTAATGAACAGCGTTCCTGACTCGCGCAAATCATGTATAATATCACGCCATATATGCACTCTGGCGGCAGCGTAGGAAATAACAGTAGTGCCCAGCTGGCGATCATCCGTGTGCCCAAGAGCATTGATTTTCGACAAAAAAAAAAAAAAAGGGCCGGTCCAGCTGTTTACTACCTTCGGCCCGATGGACACATCATGGTTTTTTTAAAGCGTTTTCCAACCCGAACCGAACTTCATCCGAACATGTTCAAAGGGGGGCACGTTCCCGATTGTAACCAGCGCACTCGGGAGGGTCCCGCGTTCTTCCAAGACAACCCCCATTAGTATTATTTATGGGCTTATTACGGAGCATTGTGTGTTTTGGGGAGAACAAGCGCAGATAGCCGAAGATGCGAATTGGAATATTGATTTTCATGACATCAGTGTTGAAGGATTTGCTGGCGATCGGGGTCCAAGAATGAGCCTGGCCCTTCAGAACCTTAGGCGGAAACGTGGGTGAACGAGCGCTTGTCTGTTGTCCTGATTGTTGGGACGAAAATTAAAACAGGGGGTGGGAAAGAGCTGAAAATTTTTTTTTTTTTTAATTTTTTTTTGCCACCGGAGCTTGGTGGTGATTTGGAGTATAAAACTTTTTTTTTCGCTTCTCTGCCCATCTTCGAAAATAAGCGCCTCAGCGAACTAACCAGGCTGTCAAGGTCCTGCACATGCTTCTATTTTTTTCTTCCTTTCTTTTTTGTTCATTTCCCAAATAATACTACTACTATGCTTGTTTTTTGCTTCGAGAAGATTCACTCGGATATCGCGGTTTCAGCTATTGCTCCTTTGATTTTGCTTTCCAGCCCTATCAACCGCCCTTATTAGTTAATTATAATGTTATTTTCTCCTAGCTTTTAAACGCGGCCCCCGTCCGGGTGGATGTATTCCGTATGGAGGAGTATATGTAATTCCAAGGCAGAAATTAAAAAGGCTGTACGGAGTAACTATGTAATACGGAAAGCCCACAACAGCCAAACAAGGCGCGACAAGGCAGCACAATTAAATTGTAGCCCAGACAGTTGACGTCGACAAAGGCCACATTCTGGCCCTGATGAGCTGAGATGGCGCTGCCTTACCCGTTTTGCACCGCCTTCCGGGAAAAAAAAAATTTTTTTTCTCACCCACTATTCCGTAACAAATTAATAAAAAAAAAGTAATAGCTGAAAAGAACCCTGAATCAGTTGATCGTCCGGGAATCAGCGAGCATGACGTCGCCACTTCGTCTCTCTCGGTTGGTGGTCCAAAATAACCGTCAAGGGAGAGAGAGGGCATCCAAAAGTGGGCACCCACTCGCGCCATCTTTAGAGCCAACTTTGGTTCAACCCGTGCAAATACGGGGAATTTAGCGATCTGGGGAGGGAAGTCAGCTGGACCCGTTCCTCATTTGCCTCGAAAGAGAGTTTATTCTAGTCCTTTCCCAATCCGCAAAGGGGAGAAGTTGGCCTGGATAGTGAGCATGGGAGAAAACGAAGGTGCCTGGGTAGTCAAAAATCAGGAGGTTTTGGTGGATGATATCCATGGTTCGAGAGTTTCACGTACATCGATACCTACCAAAACGCTCCTGTGTCGGGAAATTGAAAAAAAGCTGTTGCACTCCGTATGGAGAATTTGTGTAAGACAACAGATAATGGTTTTTTCTTCAAGTTTCAAGGAACGAGCTGTGCGGGTCTGTCATTCGCAGAATGACTCACCATCGGAAATAGTGGTAAGAAAAAAATTTTCTCTGAAAATACGAAAGTTGGCTCAGACAAGGCAGATGAGTTGTCAATTAGGTGTTGAAGGTAGCAAATATTTGGCCATCGTACATTTGAGAAATCCAAAGTCCACACACCCAGGCTCAAAAACACAAGAAGCCAACAGAAATATACATATGTAGACAAATTCTCTCAGACCCAATCATTTCAGCCCTGTTGAGGGTCGAATCTAAAAGTAGCGAAACACCGTTCGCTGCCTTTTCTGAGCAAAAAAAAAAAAAGTTAAAAAAAGCAAGATTGTGCACACCAGGAATCCGAAATCCAGGCCCATTCCCATGCTCCCAGAAAAAAACTGTCCGATTCCTAGTATGGATTGAAATTTTTTGCAACCAGCACCTAGAATGTCCCACGCATGATGAACCACCTCTTTCCTTTTCTCAGTCACTCGGGGGTATTTCCCCTGTGGTGAACCACCTGGAAAAGCTGGTCTGGTTTCTGATGATATAAAAAGAAAACAATTTTATTTCCAAGACAAATTTTGCGCCAATGAACTTCCGTCCCGTAAATGTTGTTTTGAGAATTTGTTGTTATGTTAACGCCGGCTGAAATGCTGCATAGATTTTGATGCTTATAACGCAAGGTATTTCGCAAAGTATTTTTTAGACGATGAGTTGAAACACACCTCCCCCTTTCCTTCCAACATATGAAAGTCGATCCGAAGTAGAGATGAAGAAAAAAGTTTGTAAGCCATAATGTCATAGAGAACACAAGTTGTTGAATGGTAGAAAATGGTTGTCAAAATGAGAGTAGGAATATTGCTTTTGAGTTTAAAATGTAGAGGCCAATATACTGGCAAGGGCGGTAGGCCGCTTAAGAAAGAGTCAGGCGTCGTTTCCAATCACGTACTTGATCGAAGCAGCCGGCGTATTCTTGCAATTCGCTCTTGACACGGCCAGAGAGGTGTGCTCCGGCCGTTGATGAGCTGCTCATAGATGAGAGCGAAGTGTGGGACGAAGACGGCGACAGGCCTGGTCGACGGGGGCCAGAGAAGATATGGGAGATGGAAGACAGGGTCGTTCGACTTTGCGGCGTCTTCAATGAAGAAGCCAAGACGAGAGGGGTAAAGGGACGTTGGCTTTGTCCGTTGTTATTGTTGCTGGAGGACGTTGTAGTCTTGCCAAAGACAACCCAGGATTGATCTGAGCGAGCGGCGTTGGTGGCCGTCGTGGTGGGAGAGGACGGCTCCGAGTCGGACGTAGAGTATTGATCCATCTCCGCCAGTCGACAAGCTTGCGAACAGTATGCCCCGCCCAGCGTTTGCCGGTCACAGACAATGCAGAAATCGAGAGACCAATCGGTAGACATGGTTAACCCAGGCACGATATGAGTCACAGACGGCGAGGAGCGTTCAGACGAGACGAAAGCGGCAGTATTGAGATGTTCTTTTGCAATGAGGGCTTGTTGAAGCGTAATAATAGCACAGGACGAGCCGGCCAGCAGGACGAACGAGCGGGTTTGTATATGCGGCTTGAGCGGGCGGCAAGGCGTGGGATGGGCCGGCAGGCGGATGGCGTGTGAAGGGAAGGGTGGAGCAGACAGCGTAGCAGATCACACGGCGAGTCAGGGAGATCGAGCAGCAGCGGGACGCGTGATGGGCAAGAGGAAAGCGGAGAGAAAGTGGTGTGATGGGTGAAGCTGGGAAAAAAGGGCGCGGACGGTACTTTTGTAGTGCTTGAGGGGGGAACAGCGCAGGGGCGGGCAGCGCAAGCAATAATGCAGGAGCAAAAAAGTATCCGGCGAGCGATGATGTCGTCTTGCCCGGGGGGGTGGTGACAGCACGGATACGGTAATTACGGGAGGGGGGCGTGGAAGGCGTCTGAGACCACGGGCCCGCCAAGCCGCCGTCACGACTGGCCGGCGCGAGACGAAAAATTTCCCAGCCGGTGGGGCCCGGAGGGGTGTGCGCGCGCTGATTGGCCGGCGCGGTGGGGGCCGGCCAGCAAGGAACAAGCAACGTGATGCACGGCGGGCCAGTCAGCGCGCGCCATAGATGACGGCTAGGCGGAGTGTATCGCCCGTACGCACCCCTTCTAGCGCCCGCGTCTGTGCATGGCGCCTTGCCGTTGTGGGACTAGCGTGACTGGGCGCAGGCTTGGGGTGGCGTGGCTTTGTGGGGGATCGGAGCGTACGGCGCTAGTATCGCGGCGTATCGAGCCTGCATTGTTGTCGTCGTCGTGAAGGGCTCTGGCGTGGGAGTGCGAGCCCACCACCACCACCACCACCACCACCAGCGTCGAGCAGCCACCACCAGAGCGAGGTCCAGCACACCACCGCGCAGCCCAGGCACCCACCATGCGTCGAGGGGGCCTGCCAGACCAGGGCCGACAGGCCTGCAACCCCAGCACCGCATCGTCCGTTTTTTAGTTACGCTGCACGCTGCAGGCCTGAACTCTCTCTTTCTCAGCTGCATGCAGAGAACAAGGACCTTCAATAATCCACGAACCTCACCACTCAGCGGCCGCCCCGGGCTTCAGCTCCGTTGATAAGGCAGGCATACATCTTCTCGATCCTTCCTCTGAGTGCAGCGTTCCGTCGCACCCCCGTTCCAATCGCGCTGCCAGCTCGCCCGCGCCTTGCGTCCCAACCACGCCTGCGACAGGCACAAGCACAA